TATGCTACATATAAATTTTGACTACTTCTACAAAGTGCAGCTGCCTAGAATTTATTTCTCTCTCTTAAAAATAATTTAAAAAAATCCTAGAGACAAAAACATTTAATAGAAAATGCTGAGTCATGTCACTTTCATTTTTAGTTCGTTTAAAAAATAATTCTTTAATTTTAATTTTTACGTATAATATTTAAACAAGAAGACTAAAGAACGTTTTTATTTTTAGTTTAAGATTATAAAATTAAGTAAACAAACAATTTAAGATGAAATAAGTATACTCTTTCCATTTAAAAAAGAATGATTCGATTTTCTTTTTAGTCTATTTTAAAAAAGAATAATCCCTTTTTTTTTGCAATACTTTAACTTTAACTTTTCACGTGACATAAGACTTATAAAATTAAAGGGTATTTTGATACATTTGACATAACTTTAAATTAGAACCACGAGATTAAACTTTCTTTTCTTAAACTCTTCCAAGTCAAACTATGCCAATTTTTTTGAAACGAAAGAAATATAATTTATGTTTGATAAATTAGTCGAGATGCGCGTAAACTGAACGTGCACGAGAGTTTGTCCAACCAAAAGAAAGTGACAAATGAAGTATGGTCTCTCTTCACTGTCATTTGTTCTAGTGTTTATTAACTGTCACATCTTTTCAGCCATAATATATATTCAAGATTCAGATATTATTTTTTTCTAATGTAAATACATATAAAAAGAAATTTTTTTTTTATCTTTTTTAGTCTCTTTGGCAATTGTTAGAAGAAGAATAGTTGGTGAAGTTTGTCTCTTAAGTTATCTGATTAAAAGAAGGAAAAAAAAAAGAAGAAGCATTTTGTGTTTTTACTTCAATTTGAAGGTCTCTATGTATTTTTCTTCCTTGTGTTGAACTTCTTTTGTAAAACAGGTACTTCCCAATTCAAGATTCTTGATTACTTTTAGTTAAATTAAAACTCTCGTTTGGCCGTAGATTTTGAAGTTGAAACTTAAAAATTTGAGTTTATGAAGTTGTGTTTGGATATGTGCATTTTACTTGATCCAAAATGAAGTTTTTATTCTTATTGTGTTAATGAAAAAATAATAATTGGAGTACTCACTTTTAGTTAGTTCTTGAAATTTATTTAGAGGTGATTATGTCATTCTTTATCATCTTTTTATGTTGATTAGTTAATCATTTTGTTTAATTGTTTGGCTTTTGGTATCTGTTATCGTCTGTTGTTTACTTATGTTGCTGATGTTATGTTTCTTGCCTGTATGCTTTGCACTGCTTTCCTATTAGTTATCTTGTTTTTTTGCCGAGGGTCTTTTGGAAACAGCCTCTCTATCTCTACGAGGTAGAGATAAGGTCTGCGTACACTTTATCCTCTTCAAACACCGTACTTTGTGTGATTTCACGGGGTAATGTTGTTGTAAATTCGATGGATACAGAGTTTGATGTTATCTTACTGAAATTCCATTTCAGCTGAAGTAGTGAAGAAGTGGCAACTAGAGTGTTTTCAAGAAGGCTGAAAAAAGTGTACATTTCTCAGTTCTTTTTAGTCCTTTTTTGGGTGATGGAAAAACATTTAGGACTTAAAAATCTTCTAGTTTTGCTTGTTTTATTGCTCTCAATTAGCATCTCAGAGTCTTCTTCACAAGCAAATATTTTATCGAGGATTCGTAATCTTCTGAACTATCCAAATGTTTTGAGTAATTGGAACAATGATACTGATTTCTGTAACACTGAGCCAAGTTCATCTGTCACTGTTATCTGTTATGAGGGAAACATAACTCAGCTTCATATAATAGGGAGCTTAGGGGCTTCTCAGTTACACAATTTCTCGATCGATTCGTTTGTCACTACACTTGTTGAGCTTCCTAGTTTGAAAGTTCTAAGATTAGTTTCTCTTGGTTTATATGGACCATTGCCTAGTAAAATTTCAAGACTTTCATCATTAGAGATACTTGACCTTAGTTCAAATTTCTTTCATAGTAACATACCTCGAGAAATTTCATCGTTAACGAGCCTCCAGAGTTTGATACTAGATGGAAATAAGTTCACTGGAAGACTTCCAAATGGACTTGGTTCACTTGTTGTTTTGGCAGTTTTGAGTGTAAAGAACAATTCTTTAGAAGGACGTTTACCTGATATGCTCGGAAGTTTACATAGTCTTCGTGTACTCTCACTTTCGAGGAATAATTTTACTGGTGATGTGCCTGATCTTAGTGGTGTTAAAAACCTTCAAGTTCTAGACTTGGAAGATAATGCTCTTGGACCGAAATTTCCACAAGTTAGCAGCAAAATCCAAAGCATTGTGTTGAGGAACAATAAGTTCACTGCAGGAATACCGGAGAAAGTTCAATCTTACCATCAGCTTGAACATATGGATATTTCATCAAACAGATTTATGGGGCCATTTCCTCCGTCTTTGCTGTCCTTGCCATCGATCACTTATCTTAACGTTGCTGGAAACAAGTTAACGGGAATGCTTTTTGAAGATAATCAATGCAATGCTGGATTAGATTTTGTAGATCTATCGACTAACCTGTTGAGTGGAAGATTGCCTAGTTGCCTTCTGACTGGTCCTAAGCACAGGATCGTGCGTTACTCTAACAATTGTTTAGCTACCGGAGACAGAACTCAACATCCATTTTCCTTCTGTCGGAATGAGGCGTTGGCTGTTGGTATCTTACCTCATCATCATAAACATATACCAGGTTCAAAGTTGGTTCTTGCTTTGATCATTTGTGGTAGCATCATTGGTGGAGTCGTGCTAGTTTGCGGGACTATTATAGTAGTAAGAAAATTTCTTGCAAAGATAGCTACACCGAGAAAAACAACAAGATCAATAGTAGAAAATGCAGCGTCTACATATACATCAAAGTTATTCACTGATGCAAGTAAGATTCCTCTCTTCTTTCCGTCTTAGCTTTGAAGTTTGAAGCATAGTATAATACTTCGGGCTTACCTATGCATGAAATACACAATAGGAAGGCGAAAAAAAGCCTAAATATACGAAGTTCCTTTTGATTCCTAGTTACTACTGATTTTCCATCTTGTGTTTTCTTCTCTGTTTACAAGAGTATGTTACTCGAACAATGAAGCTGGGATCACTTAGTCTTCCATCTTATCGGACCTTTTCATCAGAAGAGCTTAAGATAGCAACAAACAACTTTGATGCAGCCACTTTTATAGGCAACAGTTCTGATGATCAGGTGCATTTCAAGAATCACCATGTACCTTACTTTCCTTTCTTAACGTCATAACTGAGATCCTTAAACGTTCGTTTGAGAACATTTCATGGTATTATCATCCTTCATTGTTTCGACACCACAAATGAGTCAGAACCTTGCAACCTATCAAACATATTCAGTTGCCTTAGAATTCTTAATCTGTTATGTTAAACTATAGCTTATCCGTGTTTTAGAAGATCTTCTATCATGTTACTAGTCGTTCATTTTCTTAGACGAGTGGATATCAAACAGGTATGGTATGATAACACTTCTTCGTCGAGATCCATCTAGAGTTCATTAGTATACATACACTTGTGTGATACTCACGTCTGAGCGAATGTAACAGCTAATTAAGTAAACTACATATATTATATGACAGACTTACTGAAGTATGGAGGTTAAAGACTCATAAACTTGCTGTTTTTTTTTGGATTCAGATGTACAGAGGTCAGCTGAAAGATGGTTCATACATAACTATAAGATGCCTGCAAACGAAACGAAAAAATAGCAGTCAGAATTTCATGCATCATATAGAATTGATGTCAAAACTCAGACATAATCATCTGGTGAGCACTCTTGGACACTGCTTCGAGTGTTACTTGGATGATTCGAGTGTTAGCAGGATATTTCTCATCTTTGAGTATGTATCAAATGGTACCCTAAGAAGCTGGATCTCCGGTAAATACTCAACAAACATGTATACATATCGCTCCCAATATTGCAGTACAACAGTAATGTGTTATTCGATTCTGCAGATAAACATGCTAATGGAAGACTAACGTGGACACAACGTATAGCAGCTGCTGTAGGAGTAGCAAGGGGAATGCAGTTTTTGCATACTGGAAATATACCTGGTGTGTTTTCAAATAACATAAAGATAACAGATATCTTGTTGGATCAGAACTTTGTTGCCAAAATCTGCAGCTATAATTTGCTTATTCTGGATGAGAATGTAAAGGAGCTGAAGAGTATAAGGTATGCCTAACTGCTCCAAATTTAAGTTGCTCGGATTCTCCAAAAATGTTGTCATACAAATATCGGATCCTCCAAAAATGCACTACTTTGAAGGATCGACATTTTTGAAGAGTCCGAGCAACGTAGGTTCTAGCTTGTTAAGTTAAATCATGTGTACTATGAAGATCAACATAATTAACTATTAGTTTCTTACTTCTACTAATCCACAGGGCTAATTATGAAGAAAAATTGGTTGTATATGATTTTGGAGTAATATTATTGGAGATAATTACTGGGAAGCAGATAAATACCAAGAATGAAGTGAGAATTATACAAAATCAGGTATGATTCAACACTTCTTTTCACTCTTCACAACAACTATGTCTCAATCTAACGTAAGTTAGGATCAGCTATATGAATTCTCACCGACTCTTTTACTCTTCACATTATGTGCAGTTACAAGAGAGTATAATGTCAAATGCAATGTCAAGAAAGGATGTGGTTGATCCAGCAATGAGAACTTCGTGCTCCGATGAATCATTGAAGACGATGATAGAGATATGTTGCAGGTGTTTGGAACAATATACAGAAGATATGCCCTCAATTGAAGATGTAATATGGAATTTGCAGTTTGCTGCTCAAGTTGAGGATTCATGGAGAAAAGACGCTTCAAGTAGTGATGCCTCTCCAATTTCACATCTCTACAACTTGTCGCGCAATAGCAACAGCAATAACAATAGCAAGAGCATGTCTGTTTGACAAGCTATTTCTAACGTGGATAACTAATCTCGATACTATTATTTCATCCTGTGACAAGAATAACTAAACTAACAATCTATGTAATAATGTTCTTTGCAGAGCTTATACAAAAAGGTAAGTTTTAATACAATCTTCTTTCTAACAAACAGATGCCATAGCAATCTCCTTGTGTATATACCAACCCAGCCTTTATAGTACCTAGATATTACAAGAGAAACATATAGCGGAGAAACCTATATTAGACGTGGACGATAGAAAACAAAAATAAAGGAATGAAAAGAGGGACTAGTTAATGGAAAAGGGAAGCATTGCAAAATGATTTTTTCGGACAGTAGAAACAGACTATCTATTCGTTTGCAGGAGGAGTTTCCATTTTCTGAACTTGAGGGGCTGTCACTGCTACTAAGCTAAGATCAGATGAGTTTGAATCTCCAGATCTTTCACGGATCTCTCGGTACTCCTGGCATATGGCACATAAGTGGCAGAAAAAGTGTGTGGCGAAATCTCCACATGGAGCTTCCTGCATATATATCAGGACATACAAAATTGTTAAATGCAGAAATACTGATGCAAGCAGTTTTCATCATTCTATTCAGGCGTGGAACCATAATGTTATCGTAGAACAGAAACGGGGGCAGGAGCTAATGGGAAGAGAGGAAGGTGAAGAAATAAGAATTCACGGTAACTGGTTATAAATGCTGCAAACCCATCCAATAACAAACTCAAAACTAAAATTTCTAACTTGGACATCATCTCAATGTAAACCATACAGAATAGGAAACTAAGTCGGTTCTCTTTCGAAATGGAGTCCTAATTTTCCTGATTTCAAGTTGATAGTTTATCTAACTGAAGCCCACACCTACTTGTTCAAATAAAAGTATAATTTCTCTTCTGTGGATACGGTTACACATTGTAACTTTTTAATCTTTTGTAGCTTCTACGGATAACATCCGATTCAAAAGAATATATGTGGAATTCTTGAAGAATATATGTGGAATTCTAAGACACTCCTGCTTAATTTTTAGTCTGCATGAAAAGGTTAACTTCAAACTACCATCATAAAAGACTTAATAAAGCCATCAATATTAATATAATTGAAAGTAAACTTTCAAGCAATCTAACTTAACTCATTTTTCAAATGATTCTTCCTGTTGAATCAATAGAATATGCTAAACCACATTCTCATCCATGTACACTATTAACAGCAAAACAACAGAGATGACTACCTGAAGATTGTACTTTGATCTCAATGTCTTTCGATAGCCACAGGCATAACATGCAACAAAGCAACCAGGCAAACCCAGAAGAATGCCTTCAGTTAAGAAGCAGCAAATTGTGTTGAAAAAAGCCCACAAAATAAAGTGAGTTGTACATGATCCCATCAAGGTTCCTGACCCCAAGAAGTCCGCATTTTTTCCAAACAGAAAGCAAGGGCAAAAAAGTCCAATAAAACCTGTGCTCAAAATTTTGAAATTAGAGCTAACTCGAGGTTGTCAATCAACATCTAATGTCATTTCTTACAACAGAAGAGCCATTGCTTAGCAACATGTGTTGAAATTTTATAATAAAGACACATAATTAACCCTCAAAAGAGAAGTTTCACAATCACACTTCCATCTTATTGTATGTTCAGAAAGAAAGGAATGACTGATCTAGGCCAATCTTGCATTGCTGAAAACCAGTTTCGGGAAATTCTGGCAGTTGTATTATTTATTACTTCACGAAATGACTAACAGTAAGACGACGAGGGGGAGTGAATTGCAAATAATCTAGAAACAGAATGCAAGCAGTGTTGACTGTTATCCAGAACTCTCTGGAATTATACTACACAGTACACTGGGTATGTTGTTGTTCATAAGAATATATACATATATCCTTTTGGTATACTTTTGTCCCAGCAAAAGAGCACCAAGAAGGTCCTGTGTACACATATAGTGTACGAAAACTCAGATACTCCTTTATAAATGCAGGGCACTGAGGCTCCAGTAAGGCACTTAAAGTAATACACACTTAAGCATGTTACACCAAAAATCATAAAAAATACAGGCACTTCTAAGTTGCTAAGTCTATGGACTAGTTTTGCAAATTTGGTAAGAATATGCATTTTGAAGGGCATACCAACTTCAAGCTAAATTTTCAACGAAGAAGCATATAAGAGAGTAAATACTTCATTCCACTATAGAGCCTGAGAAAAAATCAATTAAATGTATAGCTTATAATAGCTTCCTTCGTGGTGCACTCAGAGTTTTATCATGTTTTCCATCTAATAAGATAAGAGGATAATTAATCTTGAATCTTATTTTACTACCCAAAAATGCACCTTTCATTCACTTTTTTCCCTTCTCATAAAGCAAGATCACAGGGACGAAAGTAGCGTACAGCTCTGTGGATCATCAAAACAAGCACAGATTCCAGAACTCCACTGAGCATGGTCATCTGTTTTGCTCTGTTGAATTTCTTCCGCAGTAGAAACTTGTTGTACTTCTGCATCCGACTGATCCAGAGGAATATAAGGTGGAGGTGAATAATTCTTGTGCCCTACCATAATTAGTTAGGTGTAAACACCAACCTGCAGGACAAATTCAAGAGAAAGCAAGAAATATCAATAAAGAACAAACGAGTTACACATAAACATCCAATCAGTTCTCTGATTACATCAAGGACAGTTACTTTCTGATGAAGCTATAACTCATCTGACTTTAGTTCAAAAGAAAAGAAACACGCTCACAGATATTGACTGGAAAGATAAAAAAGAAAGATGCTTAACATTACGAAATCCATTCTAAGTTGTTAAACTGAAATTGCAGGACCAAATTGCATGTTGACTCCACTAGGACTGACAATTAGTTTATCATGTAATGCTTACGATTAAGTATTTACAACTTTCAATTATAGGTGTTCTTGGACCCAATTTGTGCACTTCCTTTTTCTTTTTCTTTTTTTGACCTTGTAAACACAAATGGAAGCTTTCCTAGTGCCTGCTTGTTTTAAAATGTAAAACATCTGACATCCAAAAAGGTGTATCCTAGTGGTCCATGGAACTAGAACAACGACGAGGGTTCAAATCCTAAGAAGCGAAAAAGCTAGCTCATTTTTTATATATACCAAAGTCGTGTGGGCAATAGGTCAGCAAACTCTTTAGAGGATTACTAGATTATACGAACGTATGGAAATTAAGCATTTCCCATATAACTAAAAATCCTAGCTCATTAAAGATTTAAGTAGATATTTAGAGATATTAACTACTATTAGTTTTCCAAACTTTCTATTTATATAAATGGCCAGCTTGCTTGCACCTCAACTAGAATTACGAAACATCTACTACCTCCTATCAATACAAGTACCAGATAACTATATCCACTAATGTTTGGACATATGGAAAGAAATCACCTAATACTATTGCTCTTGGAGCCTCATGGTTCTCAAACCAATTCATTGACCATTAGCCCACCGCCTCACACCCTTGGTGCAACTATTCAGATTTTCTTTAATCAGTAACTATTAACCGCAGCCATTTCTGATTTTAAGAAAAATCAGACCAGATGCATCTGATACCTGTTGCTGATGGGAAGTGACACGTATTTCGTGAAATTAATCGAGATGCATTGACCCTGACGTTATCAAAAAAACTAAAATGTGGTGTATGGTAATTACAAATGATTAGTAATTCATTACAGTACGTTTCAATTTCTCTGTCGGTCTTAATTTCTTTTCATTTTCTTCAAACAATTGATTAGCAAACATCAATGCAATTATTACTCAGATCTCAACTATAGAACAATGACAAATAACGACGTAATATCCAAATTCAAGCTTTATTCATGCAGTGCAAACGAAATTAGACATTGAATCAAACATATCTATAATTTTTTTCGTCTATTTTAACGCTAAGAATCATTTGGGATGAGGTTTTCGTTTTTTTTTTGCTCGTAAGAGAAAATTAAAAGGCAAAATCTGGAGGAGAAAGAGACAGACCGGAACTTACAACTCGATGTCGCCGGAGATAGGGATATTGCTGAGTATTTCGCCGAAAGAGATCGCCGGGCAATGGACTTCACCGGAGGATAGAGAATCAAAGGACAAAAAGTGGCGTTTTGTTTCTAAAAGAAAAACTAAAAAAAAACAATACTTTTTCAGTTTCTAGAAAAAAGTGAACTTTTTAAAAGGTTAAACTTTTTTTTCAAATATTTATATTGTTTATTTAAATATTTTAAATTTATTTTAATTAAATATTTTAACATTTTTTTTAACACAAAAATATTTTTATCACACACTTTCATTTTAAATTTTAGAAAAACTTTGACATGTTCTTAGATGTCAATTACATAATAAATTGATCACGTTAAATACGTTATCTTTTTTATTTATATATTTTAGCCTCAATATGTTGGAAATATAATTTGCATATTTTTGGTTAAAGGCGACAGAGATAATAAAATAAAAGGACATATAATTTTATATTTAATAAACTTTTTAATATAAATATATTATTTGAACAAAAAAATATTAAGTTAAATTAAATTCATAATCGGGCTTCTAGCTCCTCCAATCCCCTATCTACATTAAGTATTAAAAAGGATCAATTTTGTAATTAAAAAAGTCATGTTAAAATAAAATAGGAAATTGAAGAATTAAGTTGTTAAAATGCAGTATATATTTTGATTGTATTTAAGCCCCTAATATTGCAACATGCGTAAAATATACTTTTAAGTTCTCGTCAAATTTTATGATTTTTTATTAAGAATCTCATGCTTCTATGGATCTTGAGACCGCTTGCTATGTCATTTGGTAGATCGATAATGCATATATTTAAGTTCAGTTATCAAGTAAAAAGATATTTTCAAGATTGTCAATAATCAAGTTCGAAATTAACAATTCACGTTAAATTAAAAGTGTTTTTAATACTTTTTCTCATATTATTATTAAGGGCAACTTTTATATATAGCAAATAAAAAATTCATATTTGTATGCTATAGCAAAGTTTGCATAATTGTACTCCATAGCAAACATAGAAACAGTACAATTCGCTATACATATACAGTTGAAGCAAATTGTATAAAACGAAGTGTATAAAACAAGAAAGAGAAAGACACTTGGGCAGAGAACTGTATAAAAAGCGAAGTGTATTATTATAAGTGTATAGAATGACTATATACAATTTGAATTTATATAAAATGAGAAAGAGAGAAATACAAAAAAGACTTGACAAGGAATATACAATTGAATCGAATTGTATAAAACGAGAAAGAGAGAAATTAGACACAATTTAAAAATTGTATAAAACGAGAAAGAGAGAAAGGTAAAAGAAACTAGCAGGGGAGTATTTTTATTATATAATTATAAGTGCATAGAACGAAAATATATGTACTTGCATGTGTATATAAAATTTTCTCAAATTTATACAAACAGAAACGCAATTTATACATTTCGCTTCTGTTTGTATAAGTGAGAAAGGCGAGGGTGGCGAGCGAGATCTGGAAGAGAGGAGAGAGGGTAACAAAATTATATGTATTAATACAATTTTCTCTGTTTTATACAATTAGAAACAATTTTTCTGCACTTGTATTAGTATAAAAAGTGAGGAAGCGAGCGAGAGATTGGAGGAGAGCGGCGAGCGAGATATTTGGCAAAGAGGTGTCTGACAATTTTTCGCAAACGTTTGCTATGGAGCACAATAAAATCAAACCCTAGCCACTCCATTTATTTTACGTTATTAGTTTGCTTATTATATACAATTTTTCCTATTATTAATTACGAAATTAGACCAGCCAAGAGAGAAACACATACAAATCTGAAAAAAGAAACTTCTAATATCTCACTTATATATATATATATATATATATATAGAACTCCATAATTGATTTTTTTTTATTACATGCTTGAAAAAGGACTAAATTGAAGGGGGGAAAAAACAAGTAATATTTTACATATACTCTAATTAATATAAAATAAATATATAATTAATATAAATATATAATTAATATAAGTAGCATCATTCAATTATTCTTGGGCTTTGGTCTTCCTTTCGTCGGCCCATCATGATAGTCTGCCGAATCCATTCTCCTTGCTACTTCTACGTCACTCTCATCAATCTGTTTTGATACCTAAGTAAAAAAAATATAATTTTAAATATATTAACATATGGTATATTTAAATTAATATAATCTAGGGTAAAAAATTAGGTAATGCTAAATGGCCAGTACTTTATGATATTTTTTATTTAAAAATAAATTATCTTTTTTCTTTTGTAATTAACAAGTATCAAAGTTAAAAAAGCAGAGGCGGAGTCAGAATTTTCGATAATGGATTCAAAATAGACATACGAAAAAGCCGTAGGAATTACATACCCGGCTCAACATTCTTGGAAAACAATCGAATCGAGGGTTCGGGAGCCTATAAGTGGAACGTTTGCTATGCTATAAGGACTGACTTTCACGGTTATGATGAGCTTTTTTCTCCTATTTCCAAGATCGAATTCCAGTTTTTTCTTATCGACTGTCTTATTATTTTTCCTTTTTTCTAGCTTCTTGCTTGCTACCTTCTACTCTCTCTGTTTTCTACTGGGCTCTCTTGAGTTCTGTTGGTCGACATCTACTATACCAAAAAGATTATTTTAACCATATAAAAATAATATAATTTTCCGCCGATAAGGGTTCGAATGAACCCCTCCATCCACCACTGGTTAAAAGGATAAAAATATTCAAAAAAAGCAAAATAACACGAGTAAAATACCATTCTTATCAAATTTTATGACTAAAAACATTTTTCCAATTTCTTTTATTACATGCATGTTGAAGTATAAAATAATTAAACAAAAAAAATATGCATATTGAGACGTAATATTATTAATAAATCACACATTTTTTTAAAGAATAATGCATGATTAGCTCCTAATCTCATCATTAACTAATGATTGTTTTACAAGAGAAAGTGGGAACCTGAGCTGTTAAATCGTAGATAGAAATTTCATCAATGGATTCCTTGAGAATTCCTGACAATTCATATATAAAATAAAAATAAAAATAAAAATCGAACTAGTTTTATTAATTTAACTCAAAATTACACATAGATATAAAAAAAGATTTTTTTAAAAAAAAAGAAAAAACAAGACACATACAAATACATATACTAATATGACAATTGACAATATATACTCTTATAATTTCGTTGATTTAAAATCATAACATTTCAAATTCAAATTTAACATTGATCTCAACCTATTCTCTTTAGCTTATAGTCTATAGACAAAAGTAAATTATCCCAAAAATCTTTTTATATGACTTGTTATAACATCATGTTATCGCTTTCATAAATTAACTGCTTTATATATTAGATTATTAACTATTTGGGAACAAAAAAAGAGTTGAGTTGATCAGACGCAATGACAGAGAAAAGCAAAACGAAATCAGGATTCCGAACTAGAAAAAAAAGGTAGCAATGCTATGTTTATCATATTGATTACTATCGATAAAGAAAAATCTTTCTAAATCACTTCGTATTAGTGAGACCCTTCAAGCATCCAAAATATATCAGGAATGAAAATGTTGTTCAACCGTTGATTTGCGATAGAGTTATTTAATTTTTACTCTGATGAAAAATTAATTATAAATACCTCGTAAAATTAGTTAATGCACGCAAATTGAGCCGAATATTACGATTATTAAAAAAATGATTTTGATAAATATATGTATAGTTGCTTTATATATAAATTATTAACTTAATGAAAACTTACTTGATGTTGAGGCAGTAGAAATGATAGTAGCAAAGATGAACAATAGTAGAAGGTATAAACCAACTTTTTGCACCATTTTTTTTTTCAATGATCAATTAATTTTAGCAAAATAAAAGTTTTCAGAAAACTTGAGATAGGGTGATGTAATTATATAGAAGTTATAAAAATAATTTAGTACAAAAAAAAATAAATTTAAAATTTGAGTAGACTTTTTTACCCACTTGCCTCAATTAGTTTTTTTGGTCAAATATTTATGATATTTGCGAATATTCGGACAGCTACATTAACAAACTGGTACCACTAATTAACATGTTTATTAATTTAATTATTCATATATACTCCATAATTAACTTGTAATCCTACACCGGTGGCAACCGACGAAAAGAACAATAACAATATATTTAATATAATTTCATAAGCGATATTTGAAAAAGATAATATATACATAAACTTATACTAAGTTAGATATTGTTTGTTTCTAATAAAATTTCGACGCATGTAAAATATATCAATGTGGAGTATTGAAAGGAATTAATACAATACTGAAAAAGTCGTATAATAAAAAACAAAGTAGAAGAATAGTGGCAAGAAAAACAAATAAGTAATTAATTAAGTTGTTGAAATTGCGATATTCTGATTTTATTTATTTTTTAAAGGAAAAATTATGTCGTTAAGCAAATTTATATTATTTTATTACTCACCATAGCTATAACTTGCTATAATTATCATTCGCAATTAACATTATACATTAATTAAATGGGCTGACTTCGAGTTTGTATGATTAACCACATTTGTATGTGTATAATTCGCTAGAATTTACAACACATTGTATAATATATAATTATCTAACCGATATACATACACAATTCACCTCTCTCCCAATTTGTGCCCTCTGTCGCTTGCCTCTCTCCTCCCTCTCCCAATCTCGCTCGCCTCTCTCCTCCCTCTCCATATCTCGCTTGCCATATATACAAATGCATATGTATAATATACAATATATAATTGATATACATAGAAAAATTCACCTCTCCCACTCTCCTCCCTCTCCCAATCTCGCTCGCCTCTCTCCTCCCTTTCCATATCTCGCTTGCCATATATACAAATGCATATGTATAATATACAATATCTAATTGATATACATAGAAAAATTCACCTCTCCCACTCTCCTCCCTCTCCCAATCTCCCTCATCTCTATCCTCCCCGTCCCAATCTCCCTCATCTCTATCCTCTTTCTCTCAATCTCGCTTGCCATATATATAAATACATATGTATAATATACAATTATCTTATCGATATACATATATAATTCACCTCTCTCCGAATCTCGCTCGTCTCTCTCCTCCCTATAACATGTATCTACGAATTGTAATTATCAAACTATAGCTATGGAGAATAATTATGCTATTTTGAATGGCTATATG